TTCTGTGGGCGTTTGTCCAATTGTCTACAGGTGGCCTTTGGGTCTCCAATCCGTGCTCCCCCTCATTCACATTGACATGATTGTTCTGGGTCTTTGATACCTGATCCCACTGACACCTCATGATCACATAGGCTGGTGTGCTTCTTCCATGTGTGCTTTGTTGCTTCTCAGCTAGATGGATGCTTGTTTATCTTCAAGCCTTTAAGACCCAAAACACTATATCTTTTCATAGCCAGTCACCATCCGCTTTCTTCACCCATTTTGTCTGCAGTGATCCTGTCGGGAAGGTGAGGGTGAGCATCACAGAATGTCGGGTTATTAGAACAAAGTGTTCTTCTGTTAAGGGAGTACTTGAGTAGAGAACCAATGTCCATCTGCTACCTTAATAGTTAACATATAAATATATGTACATAGATCTAGTTCCCTATCATTATATATAAATATATTTACATATGCACATACCTCTATTTAGGTCTCTATAAATGTCCTTTGCCTCCTAGTTCTTTCCTCTATTTCCTTTTACTTTCCTCCTGTTCCACTATCATGTTTGACCTTTATTCGGCTTTCATTAATTCCTCTTGGCTACATTGCACATGATCAAGCCCTACCATGCATCCTAGCCATCCTCACCATCAAGTTTAGATCACTAGTTGTTCCCTTGTCTCTGGGTTTGTTGGCATCTCCCTTTCCTTTTCCCCATCTCCCCTTTTCCTGTGTCCCCCGACCCCCAAATGGATTGCTTTTTCCTATGGATTGTTTATCCAGCCTATCTTAATTCTAGATAGACACACAAAAACAATAATAAGCACAAAAACAAAACAAGCAAAAGAAAAAAAACCCAGCAACAAAAAAGAAAAGGCTATAAATAGTTCAAGGTCTGTTTGTTGACCTTTAAGAGTGTCTTCCAGTGGAATCTGATGGGGTGCCACACCCTGGTCCCAAAGTCTATTTTTGGTGTTCCTCAGGGACTTCATTCCTTTGCTCCCCTTGCTGCTCTATTTCACACCCTTAGTGTCACCGTGCCCCCCTGGTGGGGTCAGATCGGGCACAATTTCCGCTCTGAGAATCCAGTGTTGTTCCCTGTAGCACTATGGGTCAATGAGGGATGTTGTGTCTCCTGGTGGGGCCTGCCCTGTGGTCCTCTCTGCATTGGCTGCTCTGAGCAGGAATATCATCCTTGGGGCTTGGTGGGCTAGGAAGTGTGCCACTCTATCTCCTTCCCTCTTCCTTTGCTCCCGTGTGCTCTGATCAGATGTGCCTCTCTCCCTGAGCTGTAGCCTCAGTGCTGCCCTCTGCAGTGCATTCTTCTGGGGTGGGGGTGGGGGTCCACGTAGTTGGGATTGAGGCCAGCCTGCACACCTCTGTTGGCTCACTGCTTCATGCTGGTATGTTGCATTCATATCTTGGCGCACTGGGTTAGTCTGGGCCCTCTCTCCCTTTCCTGTGGAGATATAAACATATAACCCATCATCTTGGGTGGGTTAGTGCCCTGTTCCCCCACTACCTATGTCTCCCCCCCCCCTTTCTTTTCCCCTTCTTTTTAGTTGGCTGCCATATGTATCCCTGGATTGGGTCTGGCCCCTGTCATAGTACCTGACCTCACCCCAGGAATGTATGTATATAGTAGATTTTCCCCTATAACCCTTTTCATTTTGAAGTTTACCTCAGTGGACTCATGTTGTACTTGTCCTTTTGTGCTTGGCTTACTTCACTTAGCATAATTTCCTCCAGTTCTTCCCATGTGGCGATGTGCTTCATGTGTTCATCACTGCTTTTTAGGAATGCGTAGTACTCCATTGTATGTATGTACCACAAATGTTTAATCCATTCATCCGCTGATGGAAATGTGAGTTGCTTCCAACTCCTTGTGATTGTGAACTGTGCCTTGATGAACATTGGAGCACATATGATCTGGCCATGGTTTGTTTCTTGCCTCTTCTAGGTGTGCCAGGTAGGGGGATTGCTGGGTCCTGTGGTAGCTCAGTTTCCATCTGTTTTAGATATCACCAAATCCATTTCCATAATGGCTGCACATACCTACAGATCCACCAGCAGTGGACAAGAGTTCCTATCTCACCATAGCCCCTCCCATACTTGTTACTTTCTGATTTTTTTAATTGGGCTATCTTTGATGGTGTTCAGTGGTGTCTCATCGTTGTTTTAATTTGCATTTCTCTTATGGCTAATGATCGGGAACATTTTCTCATATGTTTTTTGGCCATTCGAATTTCTGTTCAGGTCTTTTGCCCACCTTCTCAATGAGCAATTAGGTTTTTTTCTTATTGTAAGCTAGCAGAGTATTGTAGATGTTAATAATAAGGCCTTTGTCTGATGTGACATTGCTAAGAATGTTTTCCCAGAATGCGGGCTCTCTTATTACTCTCTTGGAAAATTCTTTTGAATGTACGCAGGTGTTTTATCTTCAGTATATCCCACTTGTCAATTTTTGTCTCCTCTGTGTTTGTGTCCTTCCCTATTTCCAATAGCCTAAGTCCTGTGCCAAAGTTCTCAGGTTTGTCTCAATTTCCTCATTGATGGCCCCAATAGTTTGGGGTTTTACCTCAAGGCATGTGATTCACCTTGAGTTTATTCTTGTGCATGGAGTGAAATAAGGGTCTTGCTTCATTTTTCTGCTGGTAGCTATCCATTTTTCCCAGTACCACTTGTTGAAGAGATCATCTGCTTCTCATTTGATATCTTGGGGGCCTTTATTAAAAATCAGTTGTGTGTATGCTGATGATTTTATTTCAGGGTTTTCAGTTCTTTTCCTTTGGTCTGTTTTGACCACTGTGGCTGTATAAGAGGTGCTAAAGTCAGGTAAAACAAGCCCTCCAACTTTGTCCATCTTCTTGAGGAGTTCTCTGCTAATTCTGGGCTTCTTCCTTCTCCATATGAAGTTGGTAATCAGTTTTTCCAATTC